CCACAAACAACCTAAACAATCCAGTCCACACAACCACATTACAACCAACTCTAAAATCAAGCAGCCACAACCCGGCAACCAAACTACGTAACAACCACAGCATTTGCAACTCGGCATAACCACGTCTCACAACCGGAACATTACAACTCGCAGCCCAACAACTAAAAATAATTCACAACTCCACTAAGATCACAACTCTCGACTCCACATAACACGTCTCACAACTTGCAGCTAACAACTCATAACCTCTCATAACAATCAAGTAATTCCCACACCTCACAACTCCAAGTGACTTACACAACCTCACACATGCTCACATCCTATCACACGCTCACAACCTCCCCCTCTCACAACCCCCCCTCTTCCCCCCTCACAACTCACAACTTAACATCCCCTTTACAACTGAGAACCTTTCCCCTCTCCTCCCTCACAACTCACAACCAAATCATTTACACAACCCCCACCTCCTCCCTCACAACCCCCGTCCCCTTCCCCCCTCCCCCACACAACCCTTTCCCCCCTCCCCCCTCACATCCCCTTCCCCCTCCACTCCCCCCCTCCCTCCTCCTTCCCCCATTTCCTCCCCCTCCCCCTCCCCTTCCTCCCCCTTCCTCCCCCCTTCCCCCTCTCTTCCCCCTCTCCCCCCAAACTCACGCTGGAACGACGTCTGCGCCTCCTCGCCCGTGAACAGGATGGCCCGGATGTACACGTACACCTTCGTCTGGCGCCCAACTCCCCCCCGCGTGACGCCCGAGATGCTTAGGGTGTAGTTGGTGTTGGAGATGAGGCCGCGGATCTGTGGGGGAGAGAGAGAGAGGGGGATAGAGGTGGGGGGTTAGTGTGGTGGAGTGTGGTGGAGGGAGGGGGGAGGGAAAGGAGGGAGGGGAGGGAAAGGAGGGAGGGGGAGGGGGGAAAGGAGGGAAGTGGGAGGGGAGATGAGGCCCCGGATCTGTGGGGGAGAGAGAGAGAGGGGGATAGAGGTGGGGGGTTGGTGTGGTGGAGTGTGGTAGAGGGAGGGAGGGGAGGGGAAGGAGGTGGGGGAGGAGGGAAAGGAGGGAAGTGGGAGGGGAGATGAGGCCGCGGATCTGTGGGGGAGAGAGAGAGGGGGATAGAGGTGGGGGTGAGTGTGCTAGAGTGTGGTGGAGGGAGGGAGGGGAGGGGAAGGAGGGAGGGGAGGGGGGAGGGAAAGGAGGGAAAGGAGTGTTGTGGGGGAGAGAGGAGGGGAGATGAGGCCCCGGATCTGTGGGGAGAGAGAGAGAGGGGGATAGAGGTGGGGGGGTGAGTGTGGTCGAGTGTGGTGAGGGGAGGGAGGGGAGGGGAGGGGGGAGGGAGGGAAGTGGGTGAAGGGGAGGGAAAGGAGGGAGGTGGGGGAGAGGGGGAGGGGGAGGAGGGAAAGGAGGGAGGTGGGAGGGGAGATGAGGCCCCGGATCTGTAGGGGGAGAGAGAGAGAGGGGGAGAGGGGGAGAGGTGGGGGGTGAGTGTGCTGGAGTGTGGTGGAGGGAAGGAGGGGAGGGAGGAAGGAGAGGGAAAGGAGGGAGGGGAAGGGGGAAGGAGGGGGAGGAGGGGAGGGAAAGGAGGGAAGGGAAGGGGGAAGGAGGGGGAGGGGGAAGGAGGGGGAGGAGGGAAGGGGAATGAGGGAGGTGGGTGGAAGGACGAAAGGAAGGAGGGGTGAGGGGGATGAGGGGGGAGGGGGAAGGAAGGGGAGGAGGGGAGGGAAAGGAGGGAGGTGGGTGGAAGGAAGGAGGGGTGAGGGGGATGAGGGGGGAGGGGTGGGGGTGCGTGGGCGGTGCTTAAGAAGACGAGTGGGTATTAATGGGAACAAGTGGGCAGAAGTAGGTATATGCGGGTATACATGAGCCTAATTTGGCATAAATTATTTGGATAGAACTGAAGTAAAAACAAGACGCAGAGAGATGCAAGGAAACAGGAACAAAGTGATTGTAAGTAAACATAAGTGAACAAGACAAAACACAAAGTATTAAGTAATTATAAGTGAATACAAATCAGATCAAGAGTTTTTTTTTTTTCTTCTACTTAAAAAAAATGTATATTTTTTTTATCCACTTTTATATCTTATTCTCTGTCTGTCATACTATCTCAATGTATAGTATAAATAAAAGGGATTAAAAATAGATTGACAGATAAATTAAATAAAAAAAAACGCACAAAAAAAACGCAAATAATTTTCCCCCATTAAAAAAAAACCCTCACCCTTCACCCTATACCCACCCCCCCTCCCCTCCTCCTCACAAACCCCCCCTACCTCTCCCCTCCCATACCCCCCCACAAACCCTCCCCCTCCCCCCACCCCCCACCCCACGTGACCCCGCCTGACCTCCGTGGACGTGGCCTCGTGGGACACCGTCTGATTCCTCCACTCCTGCTGGTCGTGGCTGTAGCTGACGAGGTAGTTGAGGAGGACGCCGTTGATGTCCTTCGGGGGACTCCAGCGCAGGGCCACGTCCTTCGGGGTCACGGGCGTCCACGACACGTTGATGGG